CACCTGAGGTTAGGAGTTCGAGGCCAGCCTGGCCAACCTGGTGAAACGCCATCTCTACTAAGAATACAAAAATTAGCTGAGTGTGGTAGTGGGCACCTGTACTCCCAGCTTCTTGGGAGGCTGAGGCAGGAGAATCACTTGAACCTGGGAGGTGGAGATTGCAGTGAGCCAAGATCACGCCATTGCACTCCAGCCTGGGCAACAGAGTGAGACTCCATCTCAAAAAAGAAAGAAAAGAAAGAAAAAAGTGCTTTGGAACGGGACCGGAGCTTAAGAAACAAAATCAGGGCATTTGGTTGGTGGTGGAAAGAGGAGAGAGGGACTGAGCCCCTGGGGCTGCCCTGAGGCTGTGGGGCTGGTGGGAGCCGCTGGAAGGCTGGCCCCCTGAGAAAGGCTGCTGGCAGACAGGCTGGTGGGAGAAGCAGGATTGGTGTGTGTCATGCTTGGCCTGGGTGTGAGTGGGGCTGGGGCCTTCCCATGGTCTCTGGGCAGAGTTGGGGCCTGCTATTCCTGTGCCCTGACGTCAGTCCTGGGCCTGGCCTGGCCAGAGCCGGGGTGGCCGCCCTGGCAGCGGCACATACAGTGCGGCACTTCATGTCCCGGGATAGACCAAGGCTCATCTTACTGGGGATTCACCTCTCTAGGGTGTCCTGGGCCCTCTGTGGCCTCCCTGCTCCGGGGCCAATAGGGGGCTTCGGCAAGAAGCAGGAGAGGCGGGAAAGACATAGGCCATGATTTCCCAGTATTGATGTGAGATGTCACAGAATTGAAATGAGTGTAATTGGAGGCTCCCACACCTCTGTCTGCACCTCCAAGAGGAGAACCAGGTCCAATGGGACAACTGCTGCCCAGGGACTGAGCTCTGGGGGCCCAGTGGAATAGCTTATTTCATGGAGGGACTTTCTATTTGAGCAGTTATTTTTAGCCTGGGAAGGAAGGCCACAGTGCAAGAAGCCATCATCCTCAGTCCTTTTCACTCTAAATTGTTTAGCAGAAGTTCAGGGGAAGCTTGGCCCTAAGTTGTGAAAACCAGGGAAGAGCCTGAATGTAAATGTACATACACCTGTACATGCCTCGCTTCCTGCCCAGGACTCAAGAGTGGAAACACACAGCAGTGTGAAGGTCATGGTCATGGTGAACCCCCAACGTCTGGAGTCTTCATCCGCCTTGGGACTGTGTAGCCCTCTCACCTTTATCAGGGAAAAAGGTCTTTTGGGAGTGTCAGAAATGCTATAGGACATCAGACCTAGAGTTCATTCCGCTCAGTATCATCACCACCGTTGTCATCACCACCACTGTCATCATCGCCATCATCATCACCCTCATCATCATTATGATCCTCATCATCACTGTCAACACCATCATCATTGAAGGGCAACAGGGGCCCATGGAAAGGGCTGGATTCCCAGAGGAGACACCCTGACCACTGCTGTTCCGAAGGCAAATGCCAGGCCCTAGGAGACCCACCCCAACTTGGGAGCCCACAGTGGGCATCTTCACAGTGGGGAGGGCCTGGAAGCTGAAGCCTGGAGTCAGGATGATTTGATTTGGTGGTTACAGTTTGCAACTTTGTGTGTTACCTAAGAACTTTTTTTTTTTTTAAATTCTGGTGCTGGTGCAATACCCTGGATTATTTAAATCAAAACTGCAGAGAAAGAGAAATATGGGGCCAAGAAGCAGATGATTTCCATATGTAGCCAGTGCTGAGAATCACTGGTTGAGACCAGCGTAGACAAGTACTTCTCAGACTATAATGTGCCCATGAATCACCCAGCCATTTTGTTAAAATTCGGATTCTGATTCAGTGGGTCTGGGCTGAGGCTTGAAAGTCTGCATCTCTAACAGGCTCCCAGGGGTTACTGTGGCTCTGAAGTCACATTGTCACATGACCCAAGCCAGTTATTAGGTATGTGACATTCGACAAGGGCCTCAGTGTCTCTGGTTTCAGTCTTCTCATCTGTAAAAACAGGGATATGAGGCTGGGCACAGTGGGTCTCGTCTATAATCCCAGCACTTTGGGGAGGCTGAGGCAGGCAGTTCACTTGCGGTCAGGAGTTCGAGATCACCCTGGCGAACATGGTGAAACCCTGTCTCTACTAAAAATACAAAAATTAGCCAGGTGTGGTGGTGCACGCCTGTAATCCAGCTATTTGGGAGGCTGAGGCAGGAGAATTGCTTGAACCTGGGAGGTAGAGGTTGCAGTGAACCGAGATCGCGCCACTGCACTCCAGCCTGGGTGACAGAGTGAAACCCTGTCTCAAAAAAAAAAAAAAAAAAAGATATGGATAATACTCATTTTATGAGTAAGGTCACTAAAGGAAAAAAAAAAAAAAACAAAAGAGTACTCATTTTATAAAAACAAGTAAGATTAAGAAAATTCAGTATGATGAAGATACTGTTTTATATATAAAGTGCTTAAGCATTGCCTGGCAGGCTGCCTCTCAGATGTGTACATACAGATGTGTCTCATATACATTATACACATCCTGTTGCTCAGAGGACAGCGAGTCTTCTTGAATTAAACCAAGTTCCCACCACAGGTTTTTCTGCAGAGGTGGAAGGCAGAGAGATAGAGATGTAGGTAAAGGAATCAGGACTTAAAGGTATGTAAGTGGTGATGAAAGAAAATTAAAATGAGCAACACTCAGCTCTCTCTCTTGTCTGTCCCTCACTAAGGGACCAGGAATTCTTATTGGTACCCAAATCTAACTGTGGATCTCTTCCAGCACTTTCTGTGGGTCAGGCCCTGGGAACACAGAATTAAATTTGGTTCCTGCAGCTCAGGAGCCAAGAGTAGTATGGAGCATAAGTCTGGAGAGAAGGTGCTTGCAGGTAGGGGCTGAGGTACCGGCAGGAAGGGGTCTCCTGTGCTCCACTAAGTACAGCATGGCATGGAAGCCTGGACAGAGACTAGGCAGTTCTGGGTTCCAGTCACCCATTAGCCACTTAGTGGTGACGTATCTGAGGCAGAGCAGAGATCTGTGGACTTTCACTAATTCAGCTGTAAAATCTTCCTGATAGTCATAAAGGTTAAATGGCCATGTATATGAAAGTGCCGGGGGAAAGCTTGTCTATTTCAATCCACGGGGCTCCTCTCTAATCAAAAGTACGAAGCTTCATGTCTTTCTGGGTTTGACAGCAGGTTGGCTGTCTATCGGAACTATGAGAAAATACTTGCTTATGATCCCTGGAGGCTGCCCAGCTTTTGGAGATCAAGGATGGGCACCCTGAGGGAGAACAGGTACCCCAAGAAGTTGCTTTTCTTTGTGGGAGGGAGAGATGGGAGTAGCAAGTGGTGGTCTGAGAGAGGGAGTGTCTGTGTTCAGCAGACAGGTGGGATGCTCTTCCTTGGAGAGAGGCCTTGAGAGTCAAGGGAGAACGGAGGCTGCCTCAGCTGCCCCAAGGCAGGATGCCTGTGGTCCCCTTATCTCCATGAGCCTGCAATGTCCCCCCTAAACAGACCTTAGCCTGGGGGCAGGGAGCAGAGGGGTGGGCCTAACCCTCTCTTCTGGCCCCATTTTCTTTTCTTTCTTTTTTTTGAGACGGAGTCTAGCTCTATTGGCCAGGCTAGAATGCAGTGGTGCGATCTCGGCTCACTGCAACCTCCACCTCCTGGGTACAAGCAATTCTCCTGCCTCAGTCTCCTGAGTAGCTGGGATTACAGGTGTGTGCCACCACGCCTGGCTAATTTTTTTGTTTTTTTTTTGAGACGGAGTCTTGCTCTGTCACCAGGCTGGAGTACAGTGGTGCAATATCAGCTTACTGCAACCTCCACCTCCTGGGTTCAAGTGATTCTTTGGCCTCAGCCCCCCGAGTAGCTGGGACCACAGGCATGTGCCACCATGCCTGGCTAATTTTTTTGTCTTTTTAGTAGAGACGGGGTTTCACTGTGTTGGCCAGGATAGTCTTGATCTCTTGACCTCGTGATCCTCCCGCCTCGGCCTTCCAAAGTGCTGGGATTACAGGCGTGAGCCACTGTGCCTGGCCTAATTTTTTGTATTTTTAGAAGAGATGGGGTTTCACCAGGTTGGCCAAGCTGGTCTCAAACTCCTGACCTCAGGTGGTCCACCCACCTCGGTCTTCCAAAGTGTTGGGATTACGGGCGTGAGCCACCATGCTCTGACTTTTCTGACCCCATTTTCCAAACATTAAACTTGACCCTTGACAGAGGTCTCTGGCACAGACGAAGCTCCTGCTTTTCTCTCTTCCTGAGCCCTCCGCTCTCTGGGTGAAGCTTCAGTCCCTTACAAAGGGATCCCCTTGGAAGGGGTTGGCCGGGGCCTTTGGGAAGCCCAGGCCTGGCCTGTTTTGGATATCTCCTCCTCAGGCCATGCACCCTCTAATCTAAGGTAGAGAGGCCAGCAAATGCCTGCCCTTACTGGGACAGGGTTAGATGTGTGACTTAATAAGGTTGAGAGCCACAAGTAATCCCCTAAGCACTATGCTGTGTAACCTAAGGTTATCCAGCCTGCAAACACCTGTTTTCACTCCTTTGCTGATAGCGGTATTAAAAGCATGCTAGTTAATGACTGTAGGAACTGACATGAGGTGGGATGCACAAGCATTTGTCCCATCTTGGAAGCATCCCCAAGGTTGAACCCGGCTGCAGATGCCCGTGAGCAAGGTTGAGGAAGGACTGGAAGGGCTCACCCAAGTTTCCCTCCATATACAGTCATCAGGACCAAGCCAGGAAGCTTCAAGGTCAGGGCCAGGGTCGCAGGGGCTCTCAGGTTAGCACAGCTGCTCACTTCCTTAGTGATAGACAGCAGATTGGTCCTTTAACTCACTGATCCACAGTTTCCACATCTTGGGAGGGAGGCAGAATAACACCTGCTTGCTACGCACGAGGTGGTCCTGAAGACCCAGGTTGGTAGGTGTAACACTGCACACCAGGCCAGCACCACATCCCAGAAGACGGGAGCTAGGTTGTTGTAGACTCTTGAGAAAAAAAAGCCAGTGCCAACCCTGTGAAACTGACCAATCATGTTCTAATCATTTAGAACTGCAAGTCTCCACATCGGGTGGCACAGAAGATGTTGGCAATTTGTTGGAGAATCATTTCTCTGCCGGAGATGCAAGTCTAGAGGAGAAAGAAAGGGGTCTGTATGCAGACACAGCTCCTCAAGATAAGAATCTGCTCCTTCACTACCCAGATGGCAGGGAGGCTGAGAGCCCCGAGAAGACCCCTGCATCTGCTGCCAGCCCGGGCTCTGATCCTGAAGCCAGCCTCTCCAATGCCTCAGCCACAGAGTCACCTCTACCCCGGGAAAGGGACGACAGGGATGCTGCAGGGCCTGGGGAGGAAAAGAACGGCCCACCAGCAGCAAGTGCTCCTCCCTCTGTGGAAGAGGAGCTGCCGGAGCCCAGTTCTGGAGAGGGGCTAGGAGAGGAGCCTGGGCTTGGGCTCCTCATGGAGGGAGCTGTTGTTGGAAAGTCAGGAGGACAGGCTGAGGGCTGTGAACTCCCTGATGCAGCCCAGGAGGTCCCAGGGGATAGCCCTGTGCAGGGAGCAGTGGCAGGGACAGCAGAGCCAGAGGCAGAGGGGGCGTCTCCTTGCTCAGAGGGTGATGGGGTCCACTCACTGAACACAGAGGCCGAGGGCAGCCCTGGGCCTGGCCAGGAGTCTGGAGTGCCAGAGGCAGCCCCTGACGTTGCGACTGTGGAGGGAGAGTCTGAGTTGGTTATTGACACACAAGCCAGGGAGGGCACCGAGGACCAGGGGGAGCCTGACCCAGCTGCAGAAGCCAATGCGGAGTCTGGGGGCACCCAGGGCGCCGAGGCAGTGGACACTGAGGAGAAGCAGTCCCCAGTGATGACCGAGGAGGACGCAGATGAGGCCTCCTCTGAAGAGGAAAGTGGCGATGGAGGTGGAAGCGAGGAAGAAGGAGGCGTTCCCTCCGAAGAGGAGTCCGAAGAGGACAGCGGTGGTGGAGCTAGCTCAGAAGAAGCAGAGCGTACCTCCAAGGATGCCGGGGAGCCCCAGGAAGTCCTGGAGCCCCAGGAAGCCCAGGAGCCCCAGGAAGCCGAGGAGCTCCAGGAAGCTGGGGAGCCCCAGGAAGCCAGGGAGCCCCAGAAGGCCACGGAGCCTCAGGAGGCCAGGGCGCCCCAGGAAGCCCAGGAGTCCCAGGAAGCTGGGGAGCCCCAGGAAGCCGCAGGAACCTCAAGCCATGGGGACAGAGGAGCCCAGCCTGGCTTGGAGGAATTGAATACAGAGCCCGCAGGCAGTGAGATCCCGGACTCGAAGGCGGAGGAGCCTGAGGAGGGACATCAGGGGAGGGGGAATCCCATAATTGCTGCCCAGGGTAGGAATTACTTCCCTAACAGCAACCCCATCCCTTGGGCAGCTGCATTCTCCTGGCAAGTCTTGTGTGTAGCAGACAGGCAGGGACAGGAGAAAGTGGCAGAGAGTGGCAGTCCCTTTCCAGAGTCCTGGTCCGGGGAGGTGCCTTCAGGCTATGCATTGGCCACTGGCCTCCAGTTTGGAGGGGCCAGAGGGGCCCCGGTACTTCTGAGTCAGGTCCCCCAGAATCTCCCCTTAGGGTCCCTGATGTGCTGTAGCACATGCCAGTGCCTCAGCCTAAAGGAGCTAATGGCGTGACTGGTGCCCCGTGGCTGGCAGGTGGAGGGAAGTGCAAGGAGTGGATGGGGGTGGGTTGGGAACTGCCCTGGTGATTTCTTGGGAGGCTAGTGCCGGGGTCTCCCTTGAAGACTAGGCTATAGGAAGCGTTGCAGAACCAGGACTGAGGGGGTCAGGATCCTGAGATGAGAACTCAGTCTGTGGCTGCTATTGTCTCTCAAATGCCCACCTAAAGCAGCATCCTCCCACCTTTGCCTCCCATAGTACTGGGATTACAGGCGTGAGCTGCCATGCCCTGTCAATTTATATATCGACATACTACTTATATGCTATCTATCAGGACTTGTATTCTCCATAAGGGTGGGTGTGTGCTGCAGTCAGTCAGCTCCCTATTCTGGGTCTGGGGTTGGGGCTACCTGGGACTGTTTTAAAGAGTCATTATCATGAGATGCTGCATGAGGCATATTGACTCTTCTTTGCATCTCCCCTAGTGGAGCTGGCCTCCTTCTGCCCTATAGGCCTGAGTACACCCCTCTTGTAATCGCCTAAAATCCTCTGTGCAGGCAGCCTGGGAAGAAGCAGCTGTGATATCACAGCTTCCTATCCCGGGGAGCCTGTGGCAGGCACCCCATATCACTTGCTCTCTGGGTCAGAAGCAACAGGTGCTCCCCTCAACACACACACATACCCACACACAGATACAACAGAAAGACATACAGATACACAGATACAGAAATATACACAGAGATGCAAATACAGAGATAGAGACACACAGAAACAGATGCACACACAGATAACACAGAGACCCACACAGATACAGAGATAAACATACAGACACAGAAGCAGACACACATACACAATACAGACATACACAGACATAGAAATATACACAGACACACAAAAACAGACACACAACAGGACAGGCACAACACACAGACACATATACACCCTGTAGTGGCCCTCCCAGCCATCCTTCCTACACGGCCAGTGTGATCCTGATGAAACGCTCATGTGGCCGTGGCAGCTGGCTCCCATTGCTCTTGGGGTGAGACCCAAAGCTCTGTGGAAGGTCCTGCCCGGTCAGCCCTGAGGACCTCAGTAGCTCCTCAGCACCCAGGCCTCCCCCACAGCAGGAGACTCCCCTCCTCCTGCTTCTTGCTAAACAAGTCTCCTCTGGGGCTTTCACAGAACGCTTCTCTCCACTCTTCACCTAACTCATTCCCCCAGCAGAGACCTGAGGAGGTTTTTTCTGACCCCATTGCTCAGACCACACAGACACACTCCTGAGCCCCACTTAGCCTCCAGAATGTTTCCTTCTGTGGCCATCCTATCATCTGTAATGATTACATTTTATTATTATTATTTTTTATGATTTTTGAGGCTTGGCACCCTGAGCTTAGACGATCCTCCTGCCTCAGCTTCCTGAGCTGAGACTGTGGGTGTGCGCCACTGCCTGGCTAACTTAAACTTTGTTTTTGTAGAGATGGGGTCTTGCTATCTTGCCTAGGCTGATCTCAAACTTCTGGGCTCAAGTAATCCTCCCATCTCGGCCTCCTAAAGTGTTAGGATTACAGGTGTGAGCCACCCCAGTGTTGCTTTGAAGATGATTATCTCTGACTCCACTGGACTAAGCAACTGCCTAAGGGCAGGAGCTGTGCCTGTGGTGGGCACCCCTGTATTCCCAGCATGACACTCAGTGCCTGGCATGGCAAAGGTGTTCAGTGCCTATTGGTTGAATATATGAAATGAATAGATAAAAAGGTTTCTGCAGGTTGAGATGTGGCCCCTCTCCCCAAATGTGAATACATTGCCCATGGGGCTTCATAGAGTTTGGATTATCAATTCCTTCCTAAAGGCAGAGCTCAGTCCAGTGTAACTTGGCAAGACCCCGCTGAGCCCTTGCTCGAGGCCCAGCCCTCGTCCACAGTGCTGGCGCGCAGAGCTCAGCTGGCTATTATCTTTGCCCTCACTTGGCTTCTGCTTCTCTCTGCAGAAGAGGCGGAGGATGCGAATGAAGAAGCCCCATTGAGGGACCGCTCCCACATCGAGAAGACCCTCATGCTGAATGAGGACAAGCCATCTGACGACTACTCTGGTAACCAGGGGAGGGAGACACACCCAGGCTGCCAGGGGCCGGGCAGACCCCTGGAGGCTTTGGAGAGCCAGGGCGCGCCAGGGCCTTATCCCAGAGGCCAGAGGGGACCTTGGGGAGGAGGAGAGCCCTGAAGGTGGGAGGATTCTTGGAGGAGGCTCTGTGAGCAGGGTCCACGGCCGGAGGCTCCAGGTGGGCAGAGAGGAGGAAGGGCCGTCCAAGCAGAGGGCCAGTGTGGGTGAATCCAGTGTGGCCCCCTGCCATGCAGGGGAGGATGCTTAACACAGACCCATCTCCTTCTGCTGTGACAGCTTATAAAGCTGTTTCATGTGGTATATCATTTTATCTTTGAAACCCAAGGATTGCAGCAGGGTTTGTCTTCTTTTAATGAGCCACGTAACTGGAGCTCAGGCTAGCAGCAATTTGCTCCTGACACACAGCTAGAGGGTGGCGGATTGAGGGGTAGAGTCTTGCTAGCCTGACTCGCCACCCCACAGGCCTTCCTATTGGTTCCTCCTCTTCCTCCTAGAAAGAGGCCATCTGGGTTATGTGACCCCTTCAGGAGTGTCTGGGAGTACAGTGACAGGCCAGGGCCAGGGTACCGTACTGCAGGCCTTGGTGCTGGGCCTCCTTGCCCTCTATGCCTCAGGGAGCACACACAGAGGTGGGCTGCAAAGATGGAATTCTCATCCATCAAAGAAAGGGCTTGTAGTAGGCTGCAGGGCAAGGCAGGGTTTCAGACACACTATTCAGGTGAGGAATGAGGAGAGAGGTTTTAAAAAAATAGGTCACTGCCCAACGTGGTGGCTCACGCCTGTATTCCCAGCACTTTGGGAGGCCAAGGTAGGCAGATCATGAGTCAGGAGTTTGAGATCAGCCTGACCAACATGGTGAAACCCTGTCTACTAAAAATACAAAAATTAGCTGGGAGTGGTGGTGCATGCCTATAATCCCAGCTACTCAGGAGGCTGAGGCAGGAGAATTGCTTGAACCTGGGAGGTAGAGGTAGCAGTGAGCTGAGATCGTGCCACTGAACTCCAGCCTGGACGACAGAGTGA